ATGAGTACATCTTGGTTGTCGTCGACCACTTTACAAGATTTGCTCAGGCTTATGCTACAAAAGACAAAAGTGGACGCACAGCCGCTGGGTGTATTTTTCAGGATTTCATTCCCCGGTTTGGGTACCCACAGAAAGTACATCACGACCAGGGGCGGGAGTTCGAGAATGAACTGTTTAAGACACTTCAAAATCTGTCTGGGGTGGGTCATTCCCGCACGTCCCCTTATCCCCCGCAAGGTAACCCCGCTGAGAGGTTCAACAGAACCATTTTACAAATGTTAAGAACTCTACCTGATGAAGGAAAGCGGCGGTGGAAGGATCATCTGGCTCATGTAGTGCACGCATATAATTGTACACGCCATGAAGCCACTGGATACTCGCCTTTTTTTTTGATGTATGGACGAAATCCCCGCTTGCCGGTGGATTTGTTATTCGGACTACCAGAAGACAGAGAAACATATTCACCTAAGGGTTTTGCCGAGAAATGGGCAAAACGTATGGCGGAAGCTTACCGTATCGCCGGTGAACACAGTAAGAAGTCCAGCGCAAGGGGGAAAATAGAGTATGACAGGAAAGTGAAGGGAGTCATGTTGCAAACAGGAGATCGGGTCCTAGTGAGAAACCTCAGTGAACGTGGAGGGCCTGGCAAGTTGAGATCCTATTGGGAAAAGACTGTTTACATCGTGACAGGACAAATAGGCCAAAACCCAGTGTACACTGTCCAGCCTGAGAGCGGAGACAACAAGAGGACGCGTACTCTGCATCGTAATCTCCTGTTGTTAGTAAATGACCTACCGGTTGAGGGGTGTGACTCCATGGAAAAATCTAAGAGGAGTACAAACCCGCGAGCAAGGAGAGTACTCAGGAAGGGAGCTGTCCACACAAATGAACAAATGAGGGACAGTCAGGATGCAGAGAGTGACTCTGAGGAAGAACACTGTTCAGGGTACTGGCTTAGAATACCAAGGGGTGACCAACCACTGACACATCAGTCAGGAGCAGGACAGGAGGACACACAGAGGTTGACGGACGAAACAGAAGTGCATTTAAAAGAGGAGGTGTCATCTGGAACGCGCTGCTCATTGGGAAAAGCAGGGGAGGATCTCACGTTACCTCATGTACAGGAGGAGGAGTCAATTGTAGCCGGGAAAGATGGACTTACTATTGACCATGCAGAGGAGGAACTGGGAGACAATCTCATGTCTGACCAGGACCAACAGGTGGGACCCACAGAGGTCAGAAGGTCGACGCGAGATCGAAGACCACGTCAGGTGTTCACTTATGATTTCCTGGGTCAGCCGTCACTGTACACACAGGCAACCGTTAGTGTGATTGACAACAAGCCCCATCACTCACCTGTCATTACAAATACGTACCCAACTGTGACTTACCTTCCAGCCATGGGCATACCATACTTACCTAGTACTACTTACTTATCACCGATTATGGGTCCGAAAAACCCTTACCAAACTCAGGTATTTACGCAGCCTTTGTTATTCGTTCATTAAAGGGTGACTGTGTTAAGGACCGCTAAAATCTGTAAATATGTGAGAAAGAACTGCAATTTTTAGTTATGGGAAGATTTCTTTTGTTTGCCGGAGAGAGTGTGACGCCCACAAAGTGTGGTCACATAATTTTGTTAAAGTATTTAGTGGTGTAATTTAGTAAAAGTAATAAAATAAGAATAGGAAAGTGTGGGGTGCAATACCGAGGTTCTCCACAAGGTGGCGGGGGGGATGCGAGACGGCTAGTGGAGCGCTGTGTCCCATCTACCGTTATTCGGGAGCAGCAGTTCACAGAAACCACTCCATTCTGATGTCTCTGTCTCTTTTTTTTGCATTTCAGGTTAGTAAAGTGCACCCAAGCATACAAATCCACCTATATGAGGTGCGCCATGAGTTTATAAATGTAGTGACGGTTGATAGCTTATGCTAAAGGTTCAGTTATAGAGTTAATTGGACGTACATAGCCGTTAACGTTTTATGCCCATAGTCTAGCCTCACTGGCAAATAGCTCAACTGGTAAGGTTGTGAGCTATCCTAGCTTGAATGGGTTTAATAGAAATGTATATGTTCAACAAATGTTTAATTGATAGAAGGGTGCTGAAGTAGGTTTAGTTATTATAATAGAAAAAGTGGAGTTTAATGTTGTTTCGGGTCAAAAGAGTGCTTCTTGTAGCAACGGCTAGGTCACACTGGTGAATATATATGAATGTTTGATTGTGCATTGTCTTGTAGCCAAGCCTAAATGTTAATGAGGTTGTGGAAACTGTAAGGGAAAATGACTGAATACTGGTTTAGTGGAAATGAAGGAAAAGTGAATACATACACATGTAATGTAAAAGGGAATATATTATCCTGAGAAAAGATAATTGAAGATTCGGGAGCAGCAGTTCACAGAAACCACTCCATTCTGATGTCTCTGTCTCTTTTTTTTGCATTTCAGGCACCCGGACGTTCCCTCAATAATTTATATTTAAGCTGTTAGTGGGGATTGTGCCGGCCCGATACCTGCAACATGTGCAGCCATCGCCTGTTTTAAAAACTAGAAGAAGAAATGATCTTTTCTATAGCGCCTCTCAAGATAAAAATCAGAGGAGCTTCACTTAAACTAAAAATGTAAAATATAAAAAATTATTTAGAAAATGATTAAAAATATGTTTAAAATGAGCAAAAAATAGACAATTGTGATTAAAAATGTAAAGAAAGAGAGAGAGAGAGTGAGTAGGAAAGAGGGAAATCAGTGGATCCTGAGGAAGGTGGAATAGGTGGGGAGAGCAGAATAAAGAGAGAGAGGTGAAGAAGGTCATACAAAAGCCAGCTTGAACAAGTGAGTCTTCAGCTGCTTTTTAAAGGAGACCTCTGAGTCCACTGATCTCAGGCTCAGGGGGAGAGAGTTCCAGAGTCTGGGGGCCACAGCAGCAAATGATCTGTCACCTTTGGTCTATAGCCTGGTGCTGCACAGCCAGTAGGCTTTGATCTCTGGACCTCAGGGACCTGCTGGGGGTGTAGGTACTAAGAAGATCACCAATGTAAGATGGTGCTTGTCCATGTAAGGCCCTGTAGACCAGAACCAGGATCTTGAAATGAACCCTGAAGTTGACTGGCAGCTGGTGGAGAAGCGGGGTGATGTGGGTGTGTTTGGAATTAGGGCCGTCTAGGGATGTCCCGTTCCGATATCGATATCGGAAGTAATTCGATATTGGCCAAAAACACTATCGGATTATATCAGACTGCATCGCAAATCTCTGATATAAGCAGTCCGTTAAGGTATCAGGTTTTTATGATGGTGTCACTAGAGGGTCAGTTTACAATGACAAAATAATAAATGAATATAGATGCATGTCACTGCAGCAATGGGGGATTCGCAAGATGGCGACCTCTACAAATCACTCGCCAAATCGCGTCATAGCCATCATTGCCCCAAATGAATAAAAACTGCAATAGAGAAACATGTTGTTTTTACTCAGTGTGGAGTTTAAAAGGTTCAAATGTTGGATTGATCTTAGTTTGACTTTCTTTCTGTAACGTCACCGACACAACAAGTCAGTGACTCGATGCTGCTCAGTTTTCTTACACAGGAAACTTTAAACCAACTGGCTAAATGATCTGAATTCAGTGCACTGATAAGGTTCAACTGGAGTTTTTTCTTTGTAGTGTGCTTTGGAATGACTCACTCATGATTTGGCACTATATGAATAAAATGAACTGAATTGATGACATCCGTATGAACGTTGTGTGATATCTTAAAAACAACATGTTTTCATTCAGGTTCTCGCCTTCATTCTCTGGGGCTGATGTCGGTCACATGTACCAACTCACCAACTGTGCTTCCAGGCTCCCTGTCTCCAAACGGCGCTTTCAGGGTCAGAGTTTGATATTTTCTCGTCAGGTTTTTCTTTATAAATCAAAAAGTTTGCATAGAAAATGACTCACGCAAATTTCAGACCCTGTTTTATCTGTAAGCAGGCTTCATAAAAGTGTCCCCTGACCTTGCTTCAGGCGTAGTGACTTTGAAGTAAATAAGAAACAAAAGTTTGTAGTTTGACGACATGAAGGCTCTTGAGCAGGGCGACAGACAGGAACAACCTGAAAACACAAACACACAACAGGAGGCTTCCGCAGCTACAAAGAAGCTCCTCCGGATGGTGGCGGGACCTTTACATGTGCAAGAAAAAGTCTAATTCAGTGATGTTGTTGAACTGGACCACAAGAGAGGTAACCCCGCTTTACTTTACTGAACAAACTCAAATGCCCAGTGAGACTAAAGCCATGACAAAACCCTTCTTGCAGCGCATTGTGCGCTCTGCTGAGAAGGTGATTGGCTGCAGCCTTCCATCTCTCCAGGACCTGTACGTCTCCAAAACTCAGGGGCGTGCAGGTCGGATAGCAGCTGACCCTTCTCACCTGGGTCACAGACTTTTTGAGCAGCTTCCCTCAGGCAGGAGGTTACGGTCCATCCAGACCAGAACCTCTCGCCATAAGAACAGCTTCTTTCCATCTGCCGTTAGACTTGTGAACAGATTATAAACACACAACCATGCTCGTCTTCTGTACTTGACATAACGTCACGTTATCGGCCATATTACCATTACCTGCCTTTTTTATAGCAAAGTTTTATGCTAGTTTATTATATTTTATTCTACTTTATTCTATTTTTAATTATATTATTCATGTTATATGTAGCACGTTAGTACCGAAGCAAGTTCCTAGTTTGTGAATTGTTTGTTCACTGACAATCGCAATAAACCTAATCTGATTCTGATTCTGGAGAGGAATCGAGTCCATACAAGGTAGCTCAGAGTGTCCAGAGAAATGTTTATAGTTTATAAAGGGGGAGTGAAAAACTACTGGGTCTGTTTTGACTGGAAGTTAAGAGAAGGATAAGCTATCATCTCATCCTCTCTCTCTCTCTCTCTCTCTCTCTCTCTCTCTCTCACACACACACACGCACACACACACACACACACACACACACACACACACACACGGTGCACGTACCATCCAGAAGCTGCGGTTGTTGACATCCTCAGGGCTGTTTTCAGACGACAGCGTCGACATTGTGTTCTCTGAGAAAGTAAAGCATTCATGATTAGTTTTGACTGTTAATCTGCTCGCTGACCTTTGCATTTTCAGCTGTTTCTGTAGGAACAACTGTGAGGCTACAGCAGCAGATTTTTCATGTTCAGCTGCATTTTCTTCAGGAACGTTTTAAACACCAATGACCTGAAAGCAGACTTGGGTTTATTACAAATGTCAGATGCTGCACATTAAAACCCTGCTTCTACTTCCTTTGAGCAGAGCCTAGTAGTGTCCATTTGAAAACTATTCAAACTACATTTCCCATCAGCCCAGGTTTGCATCTGAGACTTTATGTTGGGAGTTAATTGGATCAACGCTTGTGATAGCTGAAATGGGAAACCACAACAGACGTAACACGTGTCAGCAGCTGAAGCAGAGTGCCCAGTAATGAGCTGGAGCTGCTGTGAACCTGAACCAGCGGCCATGTTGAACGGGATATGAACGCTACTGATCAAGAGCTCTGACGACTCCAGTGAGAATGCTCCGTATACTCTCCCAGCATTCCCAGCTTGGCAACATGAGTCATCCCAAAATAAATTGAAGCAACAAGTCACATCCTGTCATGTGTGTTCACTTACTTACTGCACTGCTGCACGTGCGCCTCTTCAAATAAAAATGGACACTCACTTCTAATATACTCGGGGGGGGGGGGGGGGGGGGGGGGGCTTAAAGGCAGAAACTAGGCGTGGTTCACTGAAAAACCATTTTTAATGATTACGATTATAATCGGTCACTCTGAGTTTTTCATGCAGGCTGAACATGAAAATAGTCTCCTACACCTATCTCCTGCATTAGCTTCTGATAGAAAATAGACTGTAAATCTAGGATTTGGAAAAGCCTGACAGATCTACGTCACACTGTCACTTAACGTTCATGGGCTCACATGTTTTCACTCAGGACATCAAAGGCTGTTTGGTGGTTTAGGAAACGGCAGAAAACATTTCAGCTGATAGAAGCTAATTGTTAGCATTAGGAACTCCACCACATGGCAAAACTTCTCCAGGCTTGTGTTATTTTTGGAGATAAAACATCAGTGTCGCAAAGAAAATAAAGTTGGTGGTAGGCTCATGTTGCTATTAGCCAATCAGAGGTGAGATGTCCAAATATCAGGAAATAAGACTCCAAATCCTATCCTCTGATCTGGAAATTTCTAGATCCTGGATAGGGCATTTTGGCTCTGCTGCTTCTTTTTTATCAGTTAGTAAAATTATACATCTGTATGTTATTTTGCTACCCCATTGAGACAGTGTCCTGCCCACGGCCAAAATCAAAAATCAGGCCTAATAGAGCAAATCATGGAAAACTCATAAAAATCAGAACAGATTAGACTGAGGTGAAAACTAGAAAAATTAAATGTGTTTTATTGAACATTAGGTCTATTTTTTCTAAGACTTTATTTGTTAATGAGTTGATTTGTGATGATCAGATCTCTTTGCTCTCTTTCACAGCGTCCTGGCTGCAGCAAGAGGACTATGTTAGTTTAAACGAGTCAACACCTTCTAATTGTTTAAATCATCATATTGCTCAAAGTACGAGGAGGAGGAGGAGTAGCAACCAGTTTTTCATTCAGACCTCTTAATCAATCCCTTACCAATTAAAAGTTACAGTTCTTTTGAACATCTTATTCTTAGTTTTCCTAATCCAGATTGCAAAACTCCTTAGTAAATGGATATGTACCACAGAAATTGTAGACTAATATCCAACCTTCCATTTTTATCCAAGTATTTTAGCATTTAAACACTAATGATCTGTTTGAGGAATTTCAGTCTGGTTTTAGAGAGTATCACAGCACTGAAACTGCATTAGTGAAAGTTACAAATGATATTCCCATGGCCCCAGATAAGAACCTTGTGTCTGTTCTTGGCTTGTTAGATCTCAGTGCTGCCTTTGACACAGTTGATCACAATGTTCTTTTAGAAAGGCTTGAACATGTTGTAGAGATCAAAGGAACAGCGCTAGGCTGGTTTAAATCCTACCTGTCTGATAGATATCATTTTGTAAACATACATGACAAATCTTCTTCATACTCCAGGGTTACTTGTGGAGTACCACAGGGTTCAGTGCTTGGGCCAATTCTTTTTACTATATATATGCTCCCAATTGGTAAAATCATTAGACAGCATGGGATAAACTTCCACTGTTATGCTGACGATACTCAGTTATATTTATCCATTAACCCTGATGAACCTAATCGGTTAGTTAGATCACAGGCTTGTCTTGAAGATATAAAAAGTGGATGACTCTAAACTTTCTGCTTTTAAATCAAGACAAGACTGAAGTTCTCATCTTTGGACCAGAAATCCAGAAAAGGAAATTGCTTAGTCAATCACCTGACCTGAATGGCCTTAAATTAGTCTCCGAGAACAAAGTAAGGAACCTTGGTGTTATCTTTGACCAGGACATGTCATTCAAATCCCACATTAAGCAAGTTTGTAGGACTTCCTTTTTCCACCTTCGGAATATTGCTAAGATTAGAAGCATCCTTTCCAGGAGATATGCTGAAAAACTAGTTCATGCATTTATTACATCAAGACTGGATTACTGTAATTCATTACTATCAGGAAGTCCACAGAATATAGTTAAAAGTCTTCAGCTTGTCCAAAATGCTGCAGCTAGAGTTCTGATGAGAATTAAAAAGAGAGATCATATCTCTCCTGTCTTAGCTTCCCTACATTGGCTACCTGTTAATTCAGAATAGATTTTAAGATCCTCCTTCTCACATACAAAGCTCTTAATAATCAAGCTCCATCATACATCAGTGACCTGATTGTTCCATATGTTCCTAACCGAGCACTTTGCTCTCAGACTGCAGGTTTACTGGTGCTTCCCAGAATATCTAAAATTAGGATGGGAGGCAGATCTTTTAGCTATCAGGCTCCTCTCTAGTGGAACCAACTCCCAGCTTTAGTCTGTGAGGCAGACACGTTTTTCTTGCTAAGCACACCCCCTGACCCGTATAGCTCCATGCAATAAGAAACTGAGCACCGACCAGAACTAACCGATAGCACTAAACTACTATTTACCTGCATCAAATTTAAGGAATACCCTGGCTGATGCAGAGTTGATGAACGTTTCACTGACAAGTAAGTGTTTAAAATATAAATATATGAAAACACAACATGACATGGGGATAATACTCGTAAAACAACATATTTTAGCTCTGTTTGTTGGTTACAGAAACACATTTATAAATAAAAACTGTGATGAAAAGGAAACCACGTGATCTTACAAAAACAGACCCAGAGATTATTTGTGTGATATGTTTGTCAGCCACTAGATGGTGGCATCGGGTAAGAGAAATACTCCGGAAAGAGACTTAAAACATTCTCCCTCTCTTGATAATTAAATTTTACATTATTTAACATGGAATGTGTTACTACTAGTTCACCTGTTGAATTTATTATAGATTCACTAAGAAAAAGATACTAAAGTTTATCTCTTACTAAATATAACATTTACTAAGAAATCACAGTGTAGCCATAGAAACTCTACTTAGCATATACAGTACAGGCCAAAAGTTTGGATACGCCTTCTCATTCAATGTGTTTTCTTCATTTTAATGACCATTTACATTGATAGATTCTCACTGAAGGCATCAAAATTATGAATGAACACATGAGGAGTTATGTACTTAATCAAAAAGGTGAAATAACTGAAAACATGTTTTGTATTCTATTTCCTTCAAAATAGCCACCCTTTGCTCTGATTACTACTTTGCACTCTTGGCATTCTTTTGATGAGCTTCAAGAGGAAGTCGCCTGAAATGGTTTTCCAACAGTCTTGAAGGAGTTCCCAAAGGTGTTTAGCACTTGTTGGCCCTTTGTAAACGGTCATGGTCATGAAGATAAAGAAAACACATTGAATAAGAAGGTGTGTCTAAACTTTTGGCCTGTACTGAATGTTGTGTGTGTGTGTGTGTGTGTGTGTGTGTGTGTGTGTGTGTGTGTGTGTGTGTGTGTGTGTGTGTGTGTGTGTGTGTGTGTGTGTGTGTGTGTGTGTGTGTGTGTGTGTGTGTGTGTGTGTGTGTGTGTGTGTGTGTGTGTGTGTGTGCTCTGTCTTCTCGATCCCCAGTGAGTCGTGGTGGATGGCAGCTTATACTGAGCCAGGATCCCCTGGAGGTTTCTTCCTGTTAAAAGGGAGTTTTCCTCTCCACTGTCGCTAAATGCTTGCATAGTATGAGGATTGCTGTGAAGACTCTGACACTAGTCAGTGACTTGATGCAATCTGCTGGGTTCCTCGTATAGGAAACTTTTAACTGATTGGCTTAATTAACTGTTGGAATGGTTACTGTGTGAAGTGCCTTGAGACGCTTCTTGTTGTGATTTGTCGCTGCATAAATAAACTCGAATTGAACTGAAAAACTGAATTGGTTGAATAGAGGAACATACTGTGCAGTTAACACTGCTTGGTCAGTAGGATGAAATATAACATTCTGGTGGGGGTGGGGGCGAGAGACTCGCGGCCACAGCCATAGTGATGGCAGCACTGCTGATCTCCGATTGCTGGCCAGGGGAGCACTCTGGCTGCCCAGCACCGCCACCTCACCACAGCCAGAGCCCTTCGGCGCCGCTAGCACCCCTGATATCCAATTACAGCAGAGGAGCGGAGCGTGGGCTCAAGCAGCCCAAATATGATCACTGCGGTCTGAGGCTGTGCTTGTCACCTGTGGAGGTCTCCGAGGAAGACCACAGAATCTCTGCAGCTCGGTGACTTGGTGGCACTTCAAGTTAGAGTAGCTCAAACATGTTTTCCCCAAACCTCAGTTAGCTTTAGTTAGCGTACAGCGGGAGCAATTGTAGACTCTGAACCTCTCAGCTCCACCTCTTTTCCCAATTTTTGATAATCTGGGCATGGCGAGACATGTGACCCAACCAAGATGGCGATGATCAGAACGGTCCATTTGGCTTCAAATAAGCCCAACAGAAAGCTATGGGGTTTGTCCATCTCTCTTTTTATTTATTTATTTTTTTACAGTCATTAACACTCACTCACTTTTTTTTATAACTGAAACTTTTAAAATAATCTCATAAAATGTTGCTCGACATTAGAATATTGGGATTTTTCCTGATAAAAAACATATAATAACTAAATGTTTTTATTAATAATAATAAATAAAATTTACTTTCAAAAAATATTTCTACATTTATTATGAATAATTTAAGGGGGTAAATTATATACTAAAATTAATTAAATGTGTCCTGACAAAACAAAAACTTTCTTTTTTTCTTTCTTTTTTCTTATTTCAAGCCAAACAACTATTTTTTAAAGAAATTGTGAATTTTTTCCTTTTTTGAGTGCCACATTTTGTTATTTAGTTACACTATAAAACATGGGCGTAAACACAAATAAATCAAAGCAAAAGCTTCGACCTTGCCCCCAACAGTAAGAGTAAATGGTTGCAGCAGTCTGCTTTTGTGCAGCTGAGCCTTTCACAGATTTCTCCTTTAAAGAGCCGTAAAGAGTTTGTGAGGAGGCAGGAAGATGCTGATGTTGTTCCACACACCAGGGTGCAGATTCAAGGAGAATTTACTGCCTTTTTTATCACTTCCTGGGTACGTTCAGGACCCTTTTTGTTAGAAACCCTTTGTGTTTGTATTTTGACATTTTACCACTCGGATAAAAATTGTGCTGAACATTGTTATATCAGACTAAAATGTAATTTTACAAAGCCACCATGATGTTATACTATTTTCTACTTTAGTTGTGTCAGTCAGAGCTGTCAGTGGGATTTTTTGCCTTTTTAATGAAAAAAAAAAGAAAGTTTTGGGTTAAATATTTGAACACATGTGGGGTTTCACAGATGCTTTCAATGCCAAGCTCCACCCAGACACACATATCAGTTCCTTCTTGTTTTTTCCTCTCTCCTCTTGTCCTCCTTTAGCTGCACAATTAGATTCTATCATTTGGCTCCTCATACTGCTGCTCACGGGGCACCACATGCTCTACGGTGACAAAACCATAAAGACTCTCTGGGCCTCTATCTTTCCTCGTCTCGTTCTGCAGGAGAGCAAAGAAATAATGAATCGCCTCCCTTTTAACCCTTGACCTTCACTTCCTGAGTCCTGTCCCCCTGCTGGCGGTCTCTCCCGGGGGTATCAGTGGGGTTTCAGAGGAACGTGGGGCGGGGGAGCTCTACTCTGTCCTCCTAATTTTTCTTTTTTAATATTTTAGCTTTAAACCTGCGTCACAAAGAGCTGGAGTTCAATAAGCGCCACGTGGAAGCTCATTTTATCTCATCGCCAGCAGGAAGGTAAAACCCTCAGCCACCATTCAAGATCAGCTCTGATTGTGTCTCTCGTCCTGCACTTTACAAGATTCATGCTCTCCTCTGTAGAAAATCAATCTTCTTTAATCACTTTTAGACACAGAGTCGTTTCAGATATGATGTCAGAGCTTTCAGAATTACATTAAACATCCTCCGACAGGACCAGACCCAGATTTTAAGAGAGGAACATCATTAATTAATGGAAAAAATCATGTTCATGTTGCTTTGCTTGCTTTTTGTTTTAGGTTGTAACGGATTTGACTCACCGCCTTCGAGAACTGATCAATATTCACCAGGATTCCTCTAGACCTCTTGCATGCCAAATGGGGAATTTCCTCCCCACGTTATCAGAAGCCCATTATTGACTCAGCAGCTTGAATCTAAAACTTTGCGTTTGATCAAAGAAACAACGAGCCAGCTAACGCTAAAGCTCAGAGGAGTTTCCAAACTCTCTCACCCTTCCCTCCAGCTT